GTTCCTGGTTTATTGCTTGACAAATCTTCTCCAGCGTTACATTGTATAAACTATAATCTTTGCTTATCTTCCATGGTAAGAAGATACTGCAATTATTCATTACACATTTGATATCTGTTCCCCAGTCACTAAAACACTTGATTAAATAACACTGACAGCTTACAATAATTGCAATCATATAAGCACAAATAAATTAGTTGTTTGTGGTTCCTAAGCATTCTGATACCATTAGCCTGGGGAAAAAAACACTCCTCTATCCTATAATGATTTTGGCTGGGTTAAGAATATTAATTTAGGTTGGCACCCATGGCTGATGCCTGTTATCTTACCTACTCAGCAGGCTGAGACCTGAGGATTGTGGTTCAAAGCCAGCCTGTAGATGAAAGTTCATGAGATTTATATCTCCAGTAAAACACCAAAAGAGGTGGAACTGGAGGTGTGGCTCAAGTAGTAGAGTACTAGCCTTTAATACAAAAGTTCAGGGACAGCATCCACGTCTTGAGTTCAAACCCTTGGAGTGACACCAAAAGCTAAAAAGACTAGGACATGAGAAATTATAGAACACTCTTGTCATTCTCACAGTAAGACCAAAGAAAGATATTTCTAAAGAGGATCACAAAGACTCAATAGCTATGTGCGTATGAATATATAAAATGATATGTAACAAAATGAACTCCAGCAAATGGAAGCAAGTGGTTTTGTTGGTTTTGCTTTTCTTTTTGTCTTCCTTTGTTGCTGTTTTTGTTTTCTGTACCTTTTGTCTTATTTGTAAGTTTATCTGTTTTGAGACAGATACGAAGAGAGCACAGGAATGGTGGAGTAAACTGTAGACAAATACAACAGAGATCCTCACTAGACACTATATTGAAAATGAATTATAAAACTTGTGGGTGGTAATGAGAGGGGAAAACTGGGACAAATCTAGGGAAAGAATGATACTATTAAAAAAGAAATGTACTCATTAACTGCCTTATGTAACTATAACCCCTTAGTATAACACATTTACAATAATAATAAAAAAAGCTTGAATAAAAATGAAAAAGATCAAAATAGAAAAAAAGAATATTAATTTATGTGCATCTACATAAGGTAAGGATACATTGCTGTTAGCTTTTAAGTAACTAAAATGCTGTCTTGTTTACTTATGTATTCATAATAGTTATTGTTTTAGATGCTATTGTTTTAATCTGTCCATCAATATAAATCAAATGGAAAATTCATAATTATTTTTACAGATGAAGAAACTGAGGCTAAGAATGAGCACCCAATTTCTTCAGGACAGAATTATAAAAAAAGCATTTGTAGTTTAGTCCCCAGTGCTACATGAAAGCAAATCCCATGCTCTTCACTATTATGCTGTTGCCCCCCATCAAGGTCAACAATTAAGTGTTGGCTATATACCAGGCATATCACATTTATATATGCAATATTATTTACATTAATTAATAATATTTATTTGTTACATATTTTATTAAGTTTGAACTTACAAGTAATGTTATCAAAAGAAAAGATGTTCAGATATACATATTACATTAAATATATTCTTGTCTTTCTAAGTGCTAGTTAATTTGCTAAATCAGGGTTAAAGCTATGGCTGATCAAAAATGGAAATAAGAAAATAATAATTTGCAGTTTTCTAAATGTATTCATATACACATTCATTTCTACAAATTAATAGGTAAACATTTTAAAATAAGGACTATAAGGAATTATCTAAATTATTTTCTTGAAGTTTGTTTTTTTGTACATTATCCCAATTTTACTCTCTTTATTGCATTGATACTTTCAGCTGAGAAGTTTACTTTGCATTTACAATAAAGCCCCCTTAAATCATGCAACTCTAAATTCTTTCTGGAATAACAATTTGAGGATGGTGCAGTGTAAGTGCTCCCTGGGTGACTATCTTAATTTTCACAAATAGTATCAATGATGACAATGGATTTGAGTGTTATTTCTAAGATTTAATCATGTCATAATTAAACACCCAGAAGGGAAATGTACATGGCTATCCTAGGCCATGGAGCCAAATGAAAACAGCTCCTGTTATTTTTCAGATGAGTTAACCAATGTGTTTGCCAACTCCTCCCACACCTCCTCACCCACTCACTACAGTTTACATTATATGCTGGTAAAACTACATGATGAAAAGAAAAACATCTTATTAGAATAGGCCTTCAATTTCTGTTTCATCTTGTTCCTTCACAGCTGTTTGTGAAAATGGCTGCCTCAACACTTGAACTTGTATCATTTAAAATCATAAAGGGATCCAAGTAAGGGTTTTAAAGAAGAACCATTTTAATATGAAGTACATACTGTAGGATTATCTCAATGGTTTTCACATACTTATCAAAGAAATTTTGACTAACATTAGAAATATCAAATCTCACATAAATAAATGAAAAATATGAAAATGAAAATAACTGATATTGGTCAAAATAAATAATTTAGATGAACCATACTTTTAATAAATGTAAATTCAGTTCATATTCAGAGTGAAACTCTCTCACAAGACAAAATATAATTGAATGCTATAGATATATGTAAAATATACAAATATATACATACAATATAATTGTATAAGTACATATATATGCATATGTGTATGTACATATATTAATCTGCATACACATATATACAGATTAACAAGACAAAATTTTGTCAAATTTTTACTATTTTGAATAATTAACTGTAAGATGGTTTCATATTTTAAAAATCTCTAGCATTTGAAGCAGATTAAAATGATCATCACAGTGGATAAAATATTTTAAAAGTTCCAGCCCAAAATTACTGAAATGTTATATTATTCATTTAAACTATTTATAAATATGACTGGTAAACTATTACTGTAACTTTGACAGACAAATTCTATGTCAAGTATTAAAATGTTCATTTTTAATGTTTAAAGTATTTACATTGCTATTGAAAATGTTCAGTAGGTGATCACATAATAATTACCACATGATTTTACATTATATCATAAAGATAAGGTTAGATGTAAATTTATTTCTCATTTTATATTAGTTCATATTACTTAAAGGAATATATTGAAATTACAAAATCATAGTTATTTTGTAGTATTAATGAAAGTGCTATCCAACTTAAACATCTTGCTTGTAATTTTTGAAAATAAATTTATTAAGCTTTAAATGTACTACATCATCCCTATTGAAAAGATTTCATTGAATCCTATTGCAAAGACACTTTTAACATCCATAGTCAAATAAAATTTTGAATTGGGCACAGTGGGTCAAGCCTATAATCCTAGCTACTTGGGAGGCAATGATTGTGGGATTGAGATTCAAAGCAATCTTAGGCCTAAAATTTCATGAGATTCCATCTTAACCAATGACTAGGCATGATGGTGTAGGCCTGCTCTCTTAGCTACAGTGGAAGTACTATGATTAATGCAGTCACATTCATAAGCCAATGCCATTTAAAGAGGCAAACATAAGTAGGAGAATTGCAGCCCACAAGAAAGCAGAGAAAGGTTAAGAAGACATCTTGAGTAGGAATTCCAAGAGCAGAGATCAGGGAAGGTAGCATTGAGAAGATGCCTTTCCAGCTATGAACTGAAGACAATATGGGGATATGTCTCAACAGAGAAACAATTTGTGTGTCTGTGTATGTGTGTGTGTGATCTAATAGAGATAAATAAAGAGCATTCAAGTTCATTAAGTGTTTATTCTTCCATTTGTGTTCATCTTGATCATCTATGTTCTGATTAGTTCTGTTTCTGTCACTAGCTAGCTGGGAAAACCACATTCCATATTAGTTCATATCCATTTCAATTTCTCCATCTGAATTCTCATTTTTTTCTTTATTCTGAATTACATTACTTTATTTTGCTCGAAGACTGTGTAGTGTACTTTCTGGGTATGTTAACACTGTGTAGATACTCTCTGAAGCCCAGACAGTATAATATATATATATATATATTCAGTAGGAATGAAATTTCAGGAAAGCCCAACATTTAAAAAGTGATATCATTAGTATTTTTATTTGCATACATCCAACTTAGGCTCCATTCCATTGACTATTTAACTTTGGGGACAGCAGTACTTCTAATTCCTTGTAATTACTTCAAGTAAATGAGTATCTTGATATCAGTTAATCATTGCAAAACTCTCTCCACTATCGTAGGCTTCTAACAAGATTAATAAATTGTGTGCTAAGATATGTATTCAAAAGATTTTTTTTCTTTCATGCGATTGTTTCTAATACATTTATAAGATTATTTCTTTGTGCTTTGTATGTCCTTCCCCCACAGTATAACCCCTGCTTTCACTGTATTTGATGTCGGTATAATTTGTGGAGGGAAAGGGGAAAAACAAATCGTTTAAATAGGGATACAGGTGGACCCATTGCAACAATGAGATGTACAAGTCGTTATGTCCAAAGCGAACTTTACAACTTTGGTGTGGGGGGAGGGGGAGAGCGGGGAGTATTGGGTGGGGAGGTGGGGGGAGCATGGGAAGGGATGGGAAGGGAAAGGAGGAGGCTACAATGCTTGATAAGAAATGTACTCATTATCTTGCCCATGTAATTGTAACCTCTCTGTACAGTATTTTCACAATAAAAAAAATAAATTGTGTGCTAAATTCTTGCAGATCCTCGGGCAAGTGAACGGGTTCCTTCATTATCTCAGCCTATGATTTTTGATGAACACTTTCTGGTTTCATAGCCTTCTGACTGAAGTAACTTTACTAGTGAGGTAAGTCTGTCATATACATACTTGAAACCAACATGGGATTCATGGAAACAAGCACAGGAAAGTGAGGAACTCTCAGCATTCTTTTCAGGGCACAGATTCTACTACTATGCATATCTTATAAGGAGACACATCCTGGAAAATATGTGTACACTAATAACATTAATAACTACAGGCCATTTCAATGAAATATGCCGTATGGAAGTAAATAGTATTTTTTTGGTCCAGATACCATAACAATGAAGCATTTAAGAAAAATTATGTATATATACACATATATGTAAATACTTACTATATTGGCAGTTTCTTCCCATAAATTCTCCTGGGCATTCACAGGAATAATTGGCAACAAGGTCTGTACATATTCCACCATTTTTACAAGGCTCTGCTTCACATTCATTTATATCTGAATAAAACAAAGGAAGGGAGAATTATTGGTTAAAAATTACTAGCTATTAAGACAATTATAATTGTTGGTTAAAATTGTTATATATTAAGATGAAAAGGTATTAGAGCATTTGATTAGTTTTAAATGAAAAAGTCTGAGTAATCATATTCCTTTCAATGTGTGTATACACATAACAATAATATGGATGCTACAAAAACAAACATTTATAAAAAATCAAAGTAACATAATTTCAAATAGAATCAAAAATCCATATGATAGGAAGACCAACAGATCCAAACTATTTTACAATTCTGGAAATAAATAAAATAAATATGAGCAATTTGGGAAAATATTCAGCATTTCCTTAGAATTAAATCAAACAAATTAACTCTGATAGGGAGATGAATTGGTTTCACTTACATGATCTAGAAACCACCCTGCAGCAACAACTGACAATTAACACTGACTCATTTCATCTTAATTCATTAAAATTCTAACTGACAGAGATGTTTTAGTTTCTAAATAGTTCGCTTTTGATGAATATGATGAGAAGCAAATTAGATTTAATAGCTAACGCTTGTTATATGCAAAGCATAATAAATGTAAATGATGATCACTTCCTAATCTCATTCTCCAGCTTCTAAAGTTAGGGTGACTAAAAAGGCTTACCTTACAAACACACTTTATGTATACTACAGAAAATCATGTAAAATATAAACCAAAGTATTGTAATTTCATTGTCAATTGAACAACATAAAAATGAGTATAGTTTTTGAATGCAAAGAGAAGTGAACAAACCTGGCAAATCTCAGTTACTAGCACTTATAAGTCATTCCTTCTATGCAGAGCACAACACTAGGTCTTTAAAATACCCCACTCCACTTCAAGACCACTGATACCCTATCATTATTTCCTGATAAAAGTCTAACAAAAGAAAAATACATGACCTAAAAATGTATTTCATATTTTAACATTTTTTTTGAAAATTTTATTGTCAAGATGATATACAGAGGGGTTACAGTGACATGAGCAAGGTAGTGATTACATTTCTTGTCTAACTTGTTACCTGATTATTCTCCCTCTTTTCTGTCCCTCCCACCAATCCTCCACAAGTCGTACAGATCATTTCCAACATATTGTCTTGTGAACATCACTGTTGCATAGGTTCCCCCTTTGTCCTTTGTCTCACCATTTTGTTGTTCCCCTTTCCTTCCCTAGTTCAAATAAATATATACAAAATACCCAAGGTACCAAAATTGAATACAGTGACAACAGGGGATAAAACATAGGGGGAAACACAAAATAAAAAAGAAATCACATTGGGAACAACAACAAAGAAAAAATTCTTGTGTCTATGTCTTGAAGTCCATTTTGCTTAGCATCATCTTATATGGTATGTATGTAGCTCCTGAGCTATTCTACTCACCTAATAAGTTTATTCTAGATGTATACTAATTATTACAAATAAGGGACACCATGGACCTAGGTTTCTTTGACTTACTTCACTTAATATGATTTTTTCCAAGTTCTTCCATTTTGTTATAAATTGGCTGGTGTCGTTCTTCCTGATGGAAGCATATTTCTAATACACTATATCAAAAAGGATTTCTGAAATCTTATACAGGACAGTTGCTTAAAGTAGAATGGATACTACATTATCTTTATGCTAAGACCAAACTAAGTAGTAGAAACCTGTCTATCTGTCTTTTCTTTCAACTTTTATTTTGTGTACAGTTTCTCTTCCTTGCAACCAGACTCTCCACCCATTATAAAATGTTTGCCTTGGGATGTCTGGAAAAACTTTTTATGCAGATTGTGGTTTTCTCTAAGGCACTTCTTTTCTGTTTTTTTTTGTTTCTATTTGTCCCAACTTGGGATTACAAACCATTCATGATTGTGTTCAGAAGCAATTTAAACAATTTGAACCTTTTTTGAATGTCAAATACTAGTTTAAACTCAGTATCTGATAATTACTAAAAATTACTATATGCTGTAAATCATTCTACGTTATAACAGACCCCTAAATATTTGATATTAAAATGTCCAGTAAAATAGAGAAGGAGAAGGAAATGAAGAGAGGGAAGGAGAGAAAGGAATAAGAGAAGGCAAGAAGGATAAACTAGAAAAAAGTAAAAATTCTTATTTATGTATCAATCCAATGAAATATTCAATTATTTTAGATCTTACCAAAATTTTGCTTGATTTTATTTATTTTTTATTTATTTTTCTTTTTTGGGTCTGGTCGTAGGGCCTGAACTCTGGGCCTGGGCGCTGTCCCTCAGCTCTTCAGCTCAAGGCTAGCACTCTACCACTTGTGCCACAGCACCACTTCTGGCTTTTTTTCTTTTTCTGCTTATGTGGTGCTGAGGAATCGAACCCAGGGTCTCATGCATGCAAGGCAAACACTCTACCACTGAGCCACCTTCCCAACCCCTAAAGAAAACACTGTGCTGCTTATTTTGTGGCCAATTCAATACAGTGGTATGCTTTAAATATACTGCAATATGCCTCTCCTGTCTTTCCTGAACCATGTCTACTAAATTGACTAGTTGTTTCTGAATAGAGCATTTTATTGCTGGATTGGCAAGGCTCCTTTTGGATTAATGGCAGAATGGTGATGGCGTATTTCTAAGGGAGCCAGAGTGAATCACATATTTGAATACAAGGTGGTAGATTTAAGGACAGAAGCATCCTTTTTGGAGAAGACAATGTGAAGAGGAGTGCTGGCTCTTAAATCTGAGGATGTAGATAAGGGACCAGATTTTCATCAATCCGTAGTGCCCATTGAAAGAGCAAGCTCTTAGCTTTCCGAGCAAGAGGGGAATTTTTTTAAATAAGATTTTTATTGTGAAAATAATGTACAGAGGAGGGGTTGCAGTTACATGAGAAAGGTAATGAGTACATTTCTTATTAAGCATTGTTATTTCCTCCTTTGTTTTTCCCCTAGCATCCCAAGATGGGAAATTTTCTCCTTGCTTCTTCCATTTTTTAAAGGACCTAAGGTAAACAAAGTTCTGTAGATGTAAGAATGAGCAGCATGTTAGGACACTCACTTTCCAAGATTTGATATTCAGAGGTGGAACATATAATTCAATTTTCAGGCAGGAAGTACTGGGATTTTTTTTCTTTCATTTTAAAAATCGAACTACAACACAAACTCAAATTCTGCTCTTATTACTTTGAAATTTTAATGGAAGAACACTTTCATAGTCAGTAATGCAAGAGAACAACCAAAAGGTATACGTGCTATTAATGGTAGGCAGGCACTGCCATTTGTCACTTCCATAAATCTTTCAGTTATTTGCATAATAAATAAATCATTATAATATGTGATGTGAAATTTATTTCATCAGGCTGGTACATTATAATTATGGACACCTTATTCTAAAAAGCAACAACTTTCCCTAGAATTTAGCATGAGGTGTGCTGGACAAGAATTGTATTTGCTCAGAGGGAAGTGTTTCAAACATTGTTTCAATTATTTTCTTGATACTTGAAGTCTACCTAAATCTCGACTAGCAAAATGAAATTGTTATTTTAGATGAATTATATTGTTCAATAGCAAAATTACTTATCATATCATGTGCAGGCCCAGAGAACAGATACAAACCACACAGAAGCTCTTATGTATTAGTATAATGCAAATCTTTTAGTGGTTAAGGCTGTTTGCTTGTGATTAACACTGCAAGCAATTTAAGTGGAAACTGACCTCAATTTGTATAAATCATGTTTAATTAAAGGCTAGATATAAATGTTCACAGAATGTAATGTGATGAAATGAAAATTAAACAACCCTGTAATACATCACATCCATTTCTTGTCACAGTTCATATCATTATCATTTTCAGGAAAAAAGTCAACATCTATTTTAAATGTAGTGAAACATATTGGATACACAATAGGTTTTATCTAAAAAAAAGTTGAAATAGGAAGTGGAACTGTAGCTCAAGTGGTAGAGCGCTCATGTTGAGCTGAAGAGCTGAGGTACAACCCCCTATGCCCAGAGTTCAAGCCCCATGACTGACAAAAAAAAAGTTGAAATAGCATTCCTTAGGTAAAATAAGAATAATATATTGCTAAATTTATAATTTATATATATATATATATAAGATCATCTATTATTTTTGAAATACTATTCTCAGTGCCTTTCTCATTACAAATCTTTAGCTACAATGAACCTCTGAGTATAATGAAGGCAGATTGCTGAGTTCTAACATACTAATTTGCTTACCACAATGTGGTGTCCTTGAGGAATACTGACCAGTACACACATTTCCTAATTTCATCTCATAACTGACTCCTCCTAGTCTGACTGCTGTTTGACCATTAAAAAAAAATGGTGAAACAAGAAGGAAAAAGAAGCTATGCCAGGGCTGGGAAGTTAGCTCACTGGTAAAGCGCTTGTCTTGCATGCATGAGGCCCTGGGTTCGATTCCTCAGCACCACATAAGCCAAAAAGAAAAAAAAATGGCACTGTGGCTCAAGTGGTAGAGTGCTAGCCTTGAGCTGAAGAGCTGAGGGACAGCGCCCAGGCCCAGAGTTCAAGCCCCATGACCGGGCCCCCGCCTCCCCTCCTCTCCAAAAAAAATAGAAGCTATGCCAAAACAAACAATTCTGTTTATCTGGAATGAGAATAGAGACATTCTCTAGATGGATTCCTTAGCTCTTGCCTCTGTTGCAACTAATCAAACACATGTATTTGTTTTACTTGAATAATTTAAGACATAGTCTTTATCATTATGTTGCACTTAGTTTATTATCTGAAAGTTTGTAATGGCTGGTAGTCTACCATTTCCTGCATGATTTTTTTTTCCTATTGAGAAAAAGGTCTACATATCCACATTTCAGGGATGTACTATTAGAACTTCTTTTGCAATTGACAAATCACAAAACTATTATATAAGATCCACTTGAATATTCATCCTTTAGGAAGTCTACTTTTATATATCAGCACCCTGAAATTTATTGAGTAAATTTCTTTGGCAAACCTTTTATTTTGCAAACTGAGCCTCAAAGCC